AAGAACAATTGCAATTGCCTCATTTAAGGTTGGCAAATCTTCTTTTCCAAGTATTTGCACTCTTACAGCATCAAATTCGATGTTTAAACCTGCAAGAAAATCATAAATTATGTCCTTTTCAACAAACCTCTTAAGGATGGCTGCATCTTCACTGCACCTCATCTGAATGCAGTGATAATGATCCATCTCCTGCCATAGACCCTTCAAGAGGTTGGAATATTCGGTGACTGACCGATTACCCTGTTTGGTAGCGGAGATTTTGGTCTTGATCTCATAGATCTGTGCAGCATCACGTACTTTGGAATAGGTCTGCTTGACTGCTTCCCATATCTCCTTGGCCGTGCTAAAAAACATACAAGTGTCGCTGATTTCTGGTAACATAGAGTTCCATAACCATGACATAACCATAGAGTCTTGTTCATCCCAAGCATCAAACTTAGGATCCTCCTTCGCTGGACCATTACCAAGCAAGTGGCTCAGTTTCCCTCTTCCTTTCAAGAACATGCGGACCATTTGAGACCACTTCAGATAATTTTTCCCGTTCAACCTATACGCTGCCTGGATATTCTGCAATTCTCCTGTTGGGACAGAGCCGTTGCTTCCAGTTACAGGAATCTTTGAAGTGTTGCTGGTTTCAGTAGATGCTGACATGATTTAGAGAGAGAGATGGAATCCACAGGTTTGATAACACTGGATTTTCACAGAACAAGAACACTAGAAAAAAGGAACTAGCAAAGAAGGCCAAGAGAAGACGATTACCCAGAGAACGAGCCTAGAGCTCTGATACGATGACAAAATTACTGAAATTGGTAATCGAATCAATTGATTAAAGAATTAGGAATACACTCTTATATATACATCAGAATAATGCTATTCTAGGAAGCTAATAAAAACTGATCCCTAAAAATCAAGGATTGCAATAACTAATAAATCTCTAGCTATTAACAGCCTGTAGCCTGTAAATCTCTAGCTATTAACAACAGCCTGTACACAACCAATAGATCCCTAGCTATTAAGAGCCTGTACACAACTAATAAATCTTATTTTCCCACAGATTCTTTAGGGCCTTAGCTCCCGGTTCCACTATTGTCTATTGGACGCGTTCCCCTTTTGAACGTCTTTTTAATTCATTATTACTTATCAAAATATATATATATATATGACGGTGTTTTCTTCCAGCTACACCGTTCTGTTGTGGTGTATCAGCACAGGAGGTTTGATGGACAATCTCGTTATCAGCAAACAAAGAAGGCAAGACCACCATACATAAACTCTCCTCCATTATCAAATCGAAGGATTTTGAGGGGACAACCAAACTGAGTACATAAGGTTTTTAAAATAAAATGAACTTCATCTTTGGTTTTTATAATATAAAGCCAAGTAAAACAACTAAAGTCATCAACAAACACAACAAAGGAACGAAAACCAAGTAACTAAGTAGTAAATACAGGACCCCACACATAAGAATGAACAAGCTGCAAATGAGTTGCACTTTCATTAATACTAGTAGGAAACACATGCTTCACAACTAAATCAGAAGATTCAACAGAAACAAAATGGGGAAGCACATACTTCAAAACAGGAAGAGGTAAATGACCGAGCCTATTATGCCATCGCATTAACAGATCTTTATTGACATTACTATTCCTAACACTGGATTAATTTGCAACATAATAAGAACTTGGTCTTGCGTTCAGCAAATACAAGACATTGTCCTCACGTCCACTCCCAATCGTTGTCCAAGTCCTGAAACACACAGTGAGATGGAAAAATGTCACACTATAATTCAAGCCTTTTGTAAGTTGACTAACCGAAAGGAGGTTATTAGTAAACTTTGGGACATGAAAAACATAGGATAAGGAAAGATTAGGAGAGGCATAAACAGTGTCCTTCCCCGCAATGGAGGAGAATGTGCCATCAGCCACTCTAACTTTGTCCCTACCAGAACATAAATTGTACGGAGAGAAATCAAATGCCATACCAGTCATTTGATCTGTGGCTCTTGAATTAATGATCTAGGGTGGCCCACCAAATAATTTTGAAACCTGATATGCCAATTCTACCGAATAAAAGGTACCTAACTGAGCAAAGTTAGAGGTGGAAGTGGAGGCATTTTGAGCTAGCAAATGTCAAAGAGCATCAACTTCAACCCTGGATAAAGAACTCAGTGGCCCTGAGAAGGGATGACCAATAGAAGCAGTCTTGCAGCATGTGCCGTAGATAACCCCCTAAACGGACCAGGCCTTGGCCTAACATTCGCATTCGCATTCGCATGAGCTGGAGTAGGGCGACCATGTAGATTCTAGCATGTTTCCCTAGTGTGGCGCGTATGCCCACAGTGATCACACCGCAACTTACTCTTATCATCCTGCGTCCCTCCTTTTGGAGGGTTGGGTTTGTTCATTGTTGTGTGGCAAGAGCAAACCTTTCAGACAATAGTGCTTCTGCTTTAGGTTTAGTGTATACAGCTGTGGCTCTTGAATTAATGATCTAGGGTGGCCCACCAAATAATTTTGAAACCTGATATGCCAATTCTACCGAATAAAAGGTACCTAACTGAGCAAAGTTAGAGGTGGAAGTGGAGGCATTTTGAGCTAGCAAATGTCGAAGAGCATCAACTTCAACCCTGGATAAAGAACTCAGTGGCCCTGAGAAGGGATGACCAATAGAAGCAGTCTTGCAGCATGTGCCGTAGATAACCCCCTAAACGGACCAGGCCTTGGCCTAACATTCGCATTCGCATTCGCATGAGCTGGAGTAGGGCGACCATGTAGATTCTAGCATGTTTCCCTAGTGTGGCGCGTATGCCCACAGTGATCACACCGCAACTTACTCTTATCATCCTGAGTCCCTCCTTTTGGAGGGTTGGGTTTGTTCATTGTTGTGTGGCAAGAGCAAACCTTTCAGACAATAGTGCTTCTGCTTTAGGTTTAGTGTATACAGCTGCAAACATAACCTTCATTCTACTCTCCTCAACCTGGATATACAAAAGCACATCTCTAACAGAAGTAGAGGCTGGATGCCTGTAACGGCCCTCACCCCAACAGACATAATATTGTCTGCTTTTGGCTCCCCCGAACCAGAGACTTCCCAAGAGGTCACCCATCCTGGTACTATTCCAAGTTAAACAAGCTTAACTCCGGAGTTCTGATAGGTTCACTGCCATTACGACTTTAAAACGTGTTGTTCACAGAAGGGTGTTGAACCTACATACAGCACTTAACTCTTCCACACCCAGGCAATGTGGGACTTGTGAACACACATAGCTCGCACCAAAGCCATGCCTCTCACAGGTCTTCTCCCTCCCACCGAGCCTCACAATTCCACACCCCTTGGGAGCCTGACGTCCCCGTCAACACACTTTCGGTTGGGTCAAGCTGATATCATTTGTAACGGCCCTCACCCCACCAGACATAATATTGTCCGCTTTTGACTCCCCTAAACCAAAGACTTCCCAAGGGTTCACCCATGTAGTAGTACTCTAGGTTAACCACGCTTAACTCCGGAATTCTGATAGGTTTACGGCCATTACAACTTTAAAACGCGTTGTTTCATAGAAGGGTGTTGAACCTATATATAGCACTTCACTCTTCCACACCCAGGCAATGTAGGACTTGTAAGCACACGTAGCTCGCACCAAAGCCTTGCCTCTCACAGGCCTACTCCAGCCCACTGAGCCTCACAATGCCTTCCCAACACTTGTACCTTGGCATGCTCGTATTTCAAATGTAGACCACCGAAGAACTCATAGATTCAATTCCTTTCTACCATAGCCTGAAATACTTTAACATCAGCTGCACACACAGGTATGTAGTCTTGTTAGTGATCTAACTCTTCCCATTTACCACGTAGAGTGTGGTAATATATAGCAAGAGTTTGGCCTTCCATACTGAATCTTGAAATCTCTTATTGGAGCTCATACAGTTTTGAAAAATTACCACCAGAGGAATCTGTCTCTTCCACAACCTTCCATAGCTCTTTAGCTGTTTTCACAAACAGAAACCCCTTGCTGATTTGTGACTGCATTGACTGCAACAATCACATCATAACTAATACATTGTTTGCACTCCACTCTTTGAATTCATGATTACTCTTGGAGGATACGTGACAGTCCCTTCGATATGGTCGATCATCCTACGACTAGTGATATGCATATGAGCAGATTGAGCCCACTCCATATAGTTCGTCTCATCCAGCCTAACAGTCGTAATATAAAGGCCTGGATGGTGATCACTACTACCTCCCAACACTATCCTTATATGACTAGGATTTGAATTTAGAGAAGTTTCCAAAACAACTCTTGTATATGCTTATCGAAAAGGATTTTTCTTAATCAAACACAGAAAACATAAAACCATGATTGACGAATGCATGAACCCTAATTGGTGAGTGCATGTGTGAGTGTTGAATATATCATTTGCCCCTGAATGCAAATCTGCCCTTGGACAAGAGGTAAACAACTAACTTTAATTAGCATTCGAAAATCTATCTAAAATAAAAACAAAAGTCAAGTTTTTGACACAAAATTCGCCAACCAAAGTCCTATTGAGCTAACAAATTGCTTTCTCAACTAACAAAACCAACTTTTGAAAATAAAACAAAAATTACAGACTTTGTCTTTTGCTAAGAAATTTGCCAACACTAAGTTCTAATAACCTTATACTAAGTAATGGTTTTCTAATATAGAGTATGATTATTTTATAACGAAATATCTTAATAAAATTAATTCGCCCCTTTCTCGTTGATATGCTAAACATTACCCACCTTTGAAAGATTTGCAAATGAATCAAGTTATGGAAACCATAGAATTGACTAAAGTATTCTGAACCAGCCTAAGGGAAAAAAAAAATCTTACAATATGCAGAACTAGAATAGAAAAAGTGTGTTCTTATGATTAAACATCTTCATGCTTTAGAACAACAGGATGCAACTAAATGGACAAAGATAGTAGATAGAAAGAAAATAAAAATAAAATAAAGGAAGGAAGAAAGAAAGCATGCCTTGTAGGTCCAAGTATATGTTGACAAGTCCTTTATTCCATTGCTAAACCCTTCTATCTTGACACTTGTTAACCCCGCTCCAACCCATTCATAATATGGCCCTGCATTCTAAAAGCAAAAAGAAAAAAGCAGTGAAGAACCGTAACATAGCACAAAGGAAATTATTGACAACCAAACATTTAAAAAACTTAAGACAAGTCATGTTGCATTAAAAATTTACAGGATTTAAGTGTTTCTAATTAATAAGTTAAAACAAGTAGGTTTAGTATTAGCAATATATTTTCACATACATGTCTAAATTTTGTCAACTCAAGTTCAGCCATATCTACAAATATGACCATCTTTACATGCATAAACCCCTTTAAGAAAAAGTTGTTTAGACCTTTCTTACAAAACCAATTCTTAGGTTCTCTTTTTATAAATTTAATTATCTATGGTTCTTGTACGAACATGCAAATAGGGAGAAGATAACATGTATACTCATAGAAACACAAATATAGTCATTTTTTATCTGTGTTTTGAGTTTAGGATGTGTCTCTCTCATAACAGACACTGATTACAGACTGAATTTCATATAATTAGTGGAAACCAAATCTTGCTTCCACTATGGATCTTTGAAGCAAATAGATAGAAGCGGAAGTCTTATTACAAAAACAAGTAAGACTAGAGTTACTCCAATCACCATTGAAGCCTAGATTTCTACAGGGAAATATGGGAAAAGCCTATAGGGAAGTTTAAAATCTGATAATATCTCAAAAGTATATTGATAAAGACTTGGTTACCACATATATATAGGGTTGTCCCTTTTATAATAAAACTATTAGTGACACTTCACAGTTGTGGACTAAATTGTAAGCTACACACAAAGCATTAATAAAACTTTTACCATTCCCATGACATCTTCAGATTCCCATACCATACTACTTAATAAACTTTGACTAGACATCTTTCAAGACACTATTGACTGCATCAATTTTTACTAGACACTTTCCAAAGCACCATGAATAATTTGCATCAAATTATACTACAGTCAATTGGCATTCCCTTCTGCACCAAACGAAATTATTTTTAAATGTGTCGAGGATCAACAAGTTAAACTTCCAACAAACACATGTAACACATTTTATTTCTTTTTCTGAAAAGGTACATGACACACTTAAGAAAATAACACATAGAAACATACTTGTAGGCCAACAGTCATGCTTAAGAGAGCAATTTCATTCTTCCCTGCCTTCAGAGAAATGGGACTTCTGAATTTGAAGGGTGACACCGTGCCATTTCCGGATGCACTGACTGAACAGCAATAATTAAATCGTAATCAATATTACTTAAGGAAATCTAACACTGTAGTGAAGAATACTTTGAAGTCCATTGTAACACGTAAAGTGCCAGTTGAAATATTGTATTTTTGATGACCACAGAAAGATCTAGAGAATAAAAGAAACAATGCTGAAGTAGAATCTCAGGTGAAATAGACGAGCAGTTAACCTTGAAGTTTCTGATTCACGAAAGCATGAAGAGCATGACCCTTTGATTCAACTAAAAGCATTGGCTGGCTTCCTTTCCTCAAGAATTCTTCATTCTCATCAACTTGTACACTGCCATCAAAGAAGTGCTATAAGAATCAAAAGCTTAGTGGGATGCCAAAATGACAAAATCAAAAGCATGCTATCGCTAAGTTTGTTTTACACTAACTAACAGAACAGACCTCATAAAGTCAGAATTTAGATAAATTTCAGTCAAGAACATAGAAACTTTAGGAAAAATAAAAAGATTCCATACTATGGTCCAATCAGGCCATACAAGAGGCAGCTATCAATAAACACAACAGTATCAAAATATAGTTCCTCAACTTTCACATAAGCATAATATGTATTTATCCACTTGCTCCAAGCTTAAAATAACATAAAATAAAATATAAATATAATAACAATAATAGAAAATAATAATAACAAATGTATATTTTCTAATAAGTTTTATTTAGTTCCGAGCAGTTTGGGACAATCAATTTTAAAAACTTAGTGTAGAACCTGTCACTTCTCAGTTTTTGCTAGGCAGGACGGAAGCACTGTACCACTACAACTAATATGGAGGTAAGGGAAATTTTTTACTTTTATTCCTATTCCCATCTGCTTTGAAGAGGGGAAATACAAGGGGAAGAGGCAAAACTCTTAAACTGTAAAAGGAAGAAATTATTTGCAACTCCTACAAAGTGGTCTTTTTTAAATCGATATTTCTATTTTAGCTAAATTCGAGAAACACTGTTGGCCATAAAAAGAAAAATCAAATAATTGTTTTAGTTAAAAAAAATTGGTCCATTTGGTAATTCCAAATGTATATATACAAATATAAATATAAATATATATAACACTAAAAATAAAAAAAGGACGATTTTCATTTGATGTAGGACCAATTCAGACAGTTGCTTCTGTATTTATTGGTAGTGAAGTGAAGTGCTTCTGTATTTATTGGTAGTGAAGTGCTCCAGTGAAAGGACTTTTGAGTATATGGAATAAGAATTATCTTCTGAATTTTAACTGTTGGGAGAATATCATCGGAGTGATATGAGTGATTTTTGGAATTGATTTTAGGGAATCCTCCATTAATGTATTTTCCATATTTACCACTTGTATTCTTTCACCTATAAATAGAGGTGGTCATTGTAAACAAAACTAAGAGAGAATACAATAAGAGTCATGCAACCCTTTGGGCTTTGTGTGCCGTAGTGGCCGAACAACGTTATATTCGTGTCATTCAAAATTCATTTCTCTTCAATTTTATATTTCTTGACATGAACCAAAGAGCATATTAAAAAATCCGAGACCGTTTCCATTCCATCAATTAATTATCATAGCGAAGTATCAAATACTATAGAGGCCCGGAAATCATAAATTAACTATGCTAGGAAAAAGAATCCCCCACGCTGACAGCAGATCGCCCATTGTCTTGTTTTTTCCCAAGGTTGTTCAGGACTGCTGTTGATAGACATGCTTTAGTAGCTGAATGTTATTGACTCGAAAGCAGTAGGTTTTCTTGGGATGTGCGATTCTGGTGATCCTTCCAGGATTGGGAGTTTGATGATGTGACTGGCTTGCTGGACCTTTTGTATAAACAGGAGGTGGATGGTATTGGTTCGGATTCCTTGACTTGGGTAGTTGGGTGCCTTCTCCGTAGGGGACTTTTCAGGTCTGTTCCTTTTTTCTCTGCCTCTCCGAGTTTCACGACTCCAATTTCCTGTGGAAAACAGTTTGGCATTCGAAAGCTCCTCTTAGGGTGGCTTTTTTTGTTGGGACTGTAGCTTGGGGCAAGATTTTGACTCTAGACAATTTGAGAAAGAGAAGACAAATCACAGTCAACTAGTGTTGACTATGTAAGAATGATAGAGAGTCTGTGGATCACCTTCTTTTGCATTACCCAGTGGCTCATGACTACTAGAGTCTTATTTTTGGTCTGTTTAGCGTCCAATGGGTTATGCCCCAGACTACAAGGGATTTGATTGACGTTCGGAGGGCCACAGGGTGGGGGGCATGCGCGAGACTCTTGGAGGGCGACCCCCCCTCTGTGTTTGGTGGAGTCTTTGGAAAGAGCAGAATAGAAGATCGTTTGATGGAGAGGAATCCTCCATTAAGGCATTGAAGTTTCTAATATAAGTTATCTTTTTAGTTAGGTGATGGGGAGAAATTGTATATCATTAGATGAAATCGTGGACTTTTTGGGTTCTTTGGGGTCCATAGGACTCCTTTATTGATTTCGGTATTTGTATAGCTCTTGGGATGCGTTCCCCTTTTGAATGCTTTCTAATACACTTTTACTAATCAAAATATATATATGTGTGTGTGTGTATATATATATATATATATGTGCTAGGAAAAAGTAAAAAGTAAGAAGAAAATAAGTAAATCAAATAGTCACTAATATAGGAGGGACCAGAAATTTAGGAAAAAAGAAAAAGAAAAAAGGATGGACCAGAAGCCATGGCTCTCCTTTCCCCTTCCCTTTCTTCCCCTAGCCACCCTTTTCTTGCTTTTGTCCTTGTTCTTCGTCTGATCTTTCCCCTTTTTTCCTCTTTTCCTTCCATGGAGTCCATTTCTCGTGCTTTCTTTGCAGCTGGTTTTAAACTGGTTTTGAATGATGGTTCAGATGGCGAACCTGATGCGGCTACGGATTTGGTCCAAATGAATCAATCAGATACCAAAGTTAACTCGATCGGAGAAGCTTTGGAATCAAAGGTTAATGAATCTCCAATGGAAACCATGGATTTGCAACCTAGGTCTATGGCTCAGTTGCTACTCAAAAATGCTAGGTTGCACAATGAAATCCAAGAGATGCAGAGACCGATAACTAACTTCTTTTCGAGAGGAGGAGGTAGAGGAAATGACTATGGCGGTCGTGGGTTTGGAAGGGGTAACTCTAACTCAAATTGTAGGGTTCGATCTAGATCCAGAACCAGAACTAGTAGAGGTAGATCCGTGAATTCTAGAAGCAGGGCTCGTTCTCACCGGCGTGAGCCCCACACGCCGCCAAGAGAGGTAACGCGAGCCTAGCAAGGGTTGCTTGTGTATCTTGCAACGCCTGCTGGGTTGTTTGTCGAAAGTACCAAATTCGGCCCTTGAAAGAGCCACTCTGTCGATCTATGTCGCCAGCGAGGTTGCCAACACCACGATCATCTACCATCAGACCAAGAAAAGACAAGGCTCTGATACCAACTGACGTAAGCGGAAGCTTGTTCACAAGGAACTTTAAACACTTTGAATCCCCAAAGTAAGAGATAAATTCACAGAGAAAATCAGATAATTGTATTGATAATTGAATGAGTAAAAACTAAAATTCTGCTCTATGCAGCACATGTATTTATAATAAAAGAAAATCTAACACTAGAAGAAACTAATTGCATAAACAAACCTAATAACAAAAGGGAAATAATTCCTCAAGTAAACAAACTAAAATTAAACTTCTTATAAATAAAAAAACATTATAAAAATCCTACGTAATAAAAATTATTAAATTCTATAAAACTGTCCTACATCATTTCTCCCACCCTTGTTCCTACGACTTTGCAGGATACTCTTTGTAATCCGAGCTGGAGAAAAGCAATGAAAGATGAAATGGATCCCCTTCATCGTAATAGAAAGTGACGTCTTGTTTCCTTGCCTTCCAGTACCAGACTAAGTCGCTCTACACTGCTAAATACCTTCCTGATGGTTCAATGAGCGTTTAAACGCTCGGCTTGTTGCAAAGGGGTACACACCGACTTATGGTGTTGGTTATGATGAGACTTTTTTACCTGTTGACAAGATTTCGTGTATTAAAGTTCTCATTCTCTTGCTACTAATCGCAATTGGCCCTTTTTCAGTTGAAGGTTAAGAATGCTTTCTTACATTACGACTTTAGCTAAAGAGGTCTTCATGGAGTAACAACCTAGGTTTGTTGCTCAGGGAGTACTGACATAGTGTTTGTTGCTTAAAGAAGGCTCTTTATGGTTTGAAACAATCACCAAGAGCCTGGTTTCTAAGACAACATTGAATTCGGTCTTCGCAGATGTCAAACAAATCACTCCTTATTTCATCAACATATTGAAGCAAGTTTCATTTTCCTAGTAGTGTATGCGGACGACATTGCTAAGTTGAAAGAGTTTTCACAATATTGGTTTCATACCTAAGATTTGGGTAAACTCAAATATTTTTTGGGAATTGAAGTTGCTATATCGAAGAAAGGTATAAGTTTGTCTTAAAGAAAGTTTGTGCTGGAATTATTAGAAAAATAAATCTGTTAGGTGGTCGTCCAATTGATGTTCCTATGAATCTAAACACAAAAGTCATAGGTATTACGGTGATTTAATTGACGACCTTGGCAAATACTGACGACTGGTTGGAAAACTGATTTATTTCACTATTACTCGGCCTAATATCTCATATATTGTTAGCGTAGTGAGTCAATAAATGGGAGCTCCTAGGGTGCAACATTGGAATGCTCTTGTTCGGACTCTCCGTTATCTCAAGCGACATCCTGGTCTGAGGTTGTTATAGAAATCAAATGGACACCTTTAACTGGAAGGTTCTACAGATGCTAACTAGCTAGTTCGCCCACAGATGGACGATACACTATAGTATACTACACCTTCTTAGGAGGTAATCTAGTTACGTGGAAGAGTAAGAAGCAAACAGTTATAGCACGGTCTAGTGTTGAAGCTGAGTACAGGGCGATAGTTCATACATCTAGTGAGTTGACATGGCTTCAACATTTCCTTGAAGAACTTGGTCTGGGAGTTCAAACTCCTTCTGTTGTTTTGCGATAATCTGGTAGCTATCCATATTGCCTCTAAAACAGTGTTTCACGGAGGACTAAGCATATTAAAGTTTACTGACACTTCATTCGAGACATGTGATGTATTTAATGTCAATTTTTTAAAGAAAAAGATGTTGGACACTTTGATGCATGTTCATAATGTTGTTTCTACAAGAAAAAGAGTGTGTGTGGGATATGCTGTCGAGTGTCCAGAATGTGTTGACCAAGTGTCCGAGATGTGTCGGCCAAGTGTCCAAGATGTGTCAACCAAGTTTCCGAAATAATAAATATTATTTTTAAATTATGGACACAGCCATGAAGTGTTAGATACATGTCCAAGAGTGTCCATGAAGTGTTGGTGACACGCCACCTCATAGAAGTGTCCATGCTTTATAGCTGACACATCTATTATATGAAAAAATCTAAACTGACGAAAATATGCTCTTGATTATTTTTTGAGTGAGGCCAACCTTGTCGTATACCAGAGGTAGTCAGTAGTGTCTTTTGTGGTGTTGATGTGATCGACAAATCCATTTCTAACAAAGTCAGCTTCTCCCCATATCCCAGCTTTCTCTACAAATACTTCCCATTTAAGAGATTTCAAGTCTTTAGCTGGTGATGTAACTGATGGCTGTAATTTTTCTGGTACCATCTCAGCTATAGAAGTTTGAGATCCAACCTGTTGAAAGTTTCAAAAGAAAATTGCAGAGGCTAGTTAAGAGCAAGAATCAAGTAACATAATTTAAAATAAAAGAAAATTCTGAGAATCAAGCTCATCACTAATTTATCAATATTCTTTCTACTTCGCATCAGCTTTGTAAATATTAAATATAACTACAAGGACAATCAGGATGTTGAAGTAATAAGATTCCTAGGTTAGGATTCTTCTATCATGTTGACATTTTAGATGTATGTGCCAGGTATGAATTCACTTTGCTATGATATAATTATGTTGGCACTCCCGTGTGGGTGTCTTTTGTTCCATAACCCAGCATGTTTTCCGAAACTGAACAGAATGAACAAATCACTTTCCAGAAATGCTTTCTGAAAATCAAAGAAAGAAGGTTTATAGTTGAAATATTGTGGCGACCTAGTGGTCGGGTATGCGTGGGCGGGCCAAGGCAAGGCAAGGCAATGGCAGGCTACGGGTGCACAATCCCACATCGCCTAGGTTTGGGAAGGGGTAGTGCTTCATATGTAGGATTTGTACACTCTAATTGGTATGAGGCCTTTTGGGGTAAAATCCAAGAACAAAACCATGCGGGCTCGGGCCCAAAGCGGACAATATTATACCATATGGTGAAGTGGGTCATTACAAATTGTATCAGAGCCTCACCCAACCGAAAGTGTGCCAACGGGGACATCGGGCCTCTGAGGGGGGTGGATTGTGGCGACCTTGTGGGCGGGTCAGCGGGTGTGAGGCAAGGTATTGGCAGGCTACGAGTGCACAATCCCACATTGTCTGGATGAAGAAAGGGGAAGTGCTTTATGTAGGATTTGTACACTCCAACTGGTATGAGGCCTTTTTAGGTAAAACCTAAGAAGAAAACTGTGCGGGCTCAGGCCCAAAGCAGACAATATCATACCATATGGTGGAGCGGGTCGTTACAAATATAATTATGATTATGATTTGAAGAAATAACAGAAAGAATGAGGGAGAAAAAGATGTAAAGAAGGGTTTTAGGATGTGTTTTACATCTCTACACCTATATATAATTATTTTATTGATTTACCTCTACCTTTACTTATCAAAAAATATATATATAATTATTTTAATGAAAAGTAAGATTTACAATATTATCCCACATGTTAATTTTCCGATAATTATGCTCATTACATGAATTATTCCCACATATCCCAAAGTTCATTTTCCAGCACATGTGCAAAGAAGACCTTTGGTTGCACCAGTTAGGAAAAGTGACATATTCAACATAGAGGGTAAAGGAAAAAAGGCTTGGTTAATGTTGTTGTATTATCCCAACAGGCCAGTTAGGAAAAGTGACATATTCAACATTGAGGGAAAAGGAAAAAAGGCTTGGTTGTTGTTGCTGTATGGATCCCAACAGTTCATTTTCCCGTATAGGTTGTTGGTCAAGCGAAGAATTCTCTTTAACTATTAGAGGTAACTAGACACTGATGTTTTGCATATGCAGGCACTTAAAAAAGTTAGAACTTACCTTTGCAGTGTTAAATACAACTTTCTTGCAGTCTGGTAAAATGCTAACTGACCATGCTGGCAGCTGATATGATACATTCCGAAATTCTATGATCTTGTCATTTTTATCATCCATGTTAGCAATAAATGCAGAACAAGCTCCTGAAGTGTCCTCGTAGATGTCGACCTACAAGACAGTGGTCATTCAATAAATGTTCAACAAATGATAAAAAGAAAAGATACGGCAGAACAAATATATATATATTTATATATATATGTATATGTGTATATATATGGAGTAAAGTCACAAAATCACCCTGTACTATGAATATTCATCATATAACCTCCTGAACTATCACATAACCCCCCTAAACTAACAAAATAGATCTAATATGACCAAATCGTGACAGAAACTGTTGGTTGATATTAAAATGACGAAAACATCCTCCTAATATTCAATATTTAAATAAACTGAAGGGACCACCAACAAAAAACCCCAGCATGAGAATTCAATCACCCTCGATGTTGGGAACGCATCAACCTCCATTCTGTATTATCTCTATTATGTTGTACAAAATTCACTCTATCATAAATTTTCTCAATCTTTATATGCCCAGGAAGAAGAGAAAAGATCTGTGGTTAGATGATTTTAGCGGAGAGCTACGAACTGGACGGAGAACATTCCTGCTCAAGAGGAGTACTACGGAAGAAAGAAAAAATAAATAAATAAATAAAGCTCAAGAAGAATGATTTTTCAGTTCTGGTAAGATAAAATTTCTGCTCAAATCAGTTCTTAGGACGCTTTTAAACTCTCTCTTGCGGGAAGGATAGAGCTTGTCAGGTCTGTGATCTCTGCATTTTTCTCTTATTGGACAGCAGTTTTCTCAATTCCAGTTGGGATTCAAAAGCATTTAGAGAGGAAGATAAAGAATTTCATCTGGCATTATAAGTTATAACCCAAATAGAAAATCTCTTCACCTGTTGAAGTGGGATAAAGTGACTTTGCCCAAGTCTGAGGGTGGTTATGGTGTGAGAGTCTTAAAAAGTATTGATTTGGCTCCAAATTTGTCTTAACTTGGGACTTCAGTCAATCCAAGGAAGCCTTATGTATTGCAAGGTTTAGTGATAAACACTCTAAATAGGCCAACTTTTGGAATTGTGTTCCAAAAGCAAGTGATTCTGCAGTTTGGAGGAATCTGCTGTCAGGGATAGTTTGCTTAATTATTTGGAGTTCCAGTTGCATAATGGTAGAGATTTCCGCTTGCTATTGGATTCTGGGTATAAAGGCGCCTCTTTAATTCAGGTTTTTGGTCCCAGAAGACTGGGAGGAGGCGGGCTGCAGAAAGATTCTTTGGTTGCTGCTCTGTTACATGCAAGTCATTGGAACATTCCTGCTACTTGGCCTTCTGAGATTGCAGAGTTTCTTTAGAATTTTACTAATTATAGTTTCCCTACAAATATTGTTAGCCGAGATATGATAGGCCCAAATCATGGGATGTGATTTACCATATTATCTGTGAGATATGATAGCCACAAATCATGTATTTGACTTTATTTACGCATATGTCTAGGCATAGAATATGCAATGATTTTATGTAGTTTCATTTATTGTAATATAACATGTGCTCTTTTTAGTATATAAATATGAGAGTTGTGAACGAGTGTTCATACATCTCATTCAAACCTTTTACATATTTTTCTTCTCCTTCTTCTATATTATATTTATTCTTGGTATCAGAACCAGGGTGGTCCGACTGCAATGACTAATGAGGGCATTGCAAGTTTGGTACCACCCATTCGAGAATGGTCTAAGGAGACATCCCCCATTTGGGAGGTGTCGAGTAGGCAGGGCTGTCCGACCTCAATGAGGGCATTGTAAGTTCGAAACCACCCATTCAGAAATGGTGTGAGACGTGGTTGTTTTTTTATGGTCTGAGGAGACATTGTCGATTCTTCCATCTACATTGTTTAAACATATGTATGAAGGGGAATGGTCTGAGGAGACATTGTTGATTTTTCTATCTACATATTTTAACCATGGGTATGAAGGGAAATGGTCTGAGGAGACATTTTTGGTTGTTTACAGTCTGAGGAGACATGGTTTTTGGCTCTGAGGATACATTGTTGAATGTTTATGGTCTGAGGACACACTTTGATTTATTGATCGGCACTTCATTTGACATAAAAGCATCGCTAAACATATTTGCACTTGTTGGCAAGACCGTGTTTAAAGTTGCATTGTCCAAGTTGGGCGTCTCAGACATCCACACACCAACTTGAGAGGGAGTGTTAGCCGAGATATGATAGGCCCAAATCATGGGATGTGATTTACCATATTATCTGTGAGATATGATAGCCACAAATCATGTATTTGAGCCTATCATATCTCGGCTAACAAATATGTAATACCAATTTTAACCTTTAATTACTTTTAAAATCACTTGTTAAACCCTACTGAAATTCTCACTCGTATAGTAAAAAAATATTAAAACTCTCATTTCCTTCCTTCCAACCAAAAAAAAAAAAAAAAATTGTGTCACCCCATCCATCCTTTCTACTATCCCATCCAATCCACTAAACAAAAAAGTGGAGGAAACACTTTCCCTTCCCTAAGGACGCCTCATCGAATCCCTCCCCCTCTCCCTTACAACCATTTTCCATCCCTCCAACCAAACAGAGCATTAACCATGTAATTCTTCCCAACAAACTCAACAAGAGAAAGAAGCTAACAGGGAAACAAAGAAAGGAAAAAGCAAAGGAACAAGTATGTGCTCGACTAAAAGTGCGAAAAATGATTGTTGGCTACCTAGACATTTGAGAAACATAGAAGTTCTAATCACATGCATTAAAAAGGACACACAACTTGGAAAGAATTTTAAATAACAAAAGCATATTAGAAAATTGAAGTACAGATCTTGGAATCGAATGAACCCATTGAAAATAACCAGTAAGAATATATATAATTTATAACTAGCAAATATATTTGTATATGTACATAAGATACACTAGCAATAATGAGAAAGGTTGAAAAAGAATAGTCACCTCTTGTAAAGGACCTAGTGAAAGCAGGGTTGGCTCACTGTTGAGCAAAGCATGCTCACATAACTTTATAGCATTATGAAGTTCCTTAAGGTGCCCCCATTTTGGAAGCCTAGCTAAACCTGAAAGCAACATGAGAAAACATCGATTAAATGGAAACACTGCATTTTGGGTTTATATCAGTTTTTACAAAATTCAAATGAGAAGCGGATCTTTAAATAAATAATGTAGATTGCTAACCATATTCATCAATAGGAGCATCATAATCATAACTTGTGGTGATGAATGGGCCACCAGAAGTGCGACCAAAATTTGTCCCACCATGATACTAACCCAAAAAATTAAAAAGATAAATAAGTTCTTGAAGAATTTAATAGGTATTGTACCCGAAGAATTGAAGATCACACCTAACGAATCACAAAGTAACATGAGAAGTAGAGAATCACAAAAAGGGAAATGTATCAAGAATACCATATAATAATTTTGCAAGCTACCGCCTTTCTGGAAAAAACGAGCAACGGAATAAGCAATATCTTCTGGTGGCCTGTGAGGATCTCTGGCCCCAAATGTTTTAAACCTGAAAAAGTGGAAATTTGTTGCATTAATATAGTGAAGACAACAATATGATTTAAGTTTTAGCACATCGATATAATAGCTCTTCTACAAGTCAATCAATAAGAATCAGTATTGAAGTAAACACTTCTAAATTGAAATAGATTGGAAAAGCCACATAATTACATGAATATCTAAATTTATTGCAGCTCGCGTATAGGCATGACTCTGTCAAAGTAAAATTCACATAAAATATAGCCATGATAGTACCATTGCTTGTGCTTTTTGTCTACCTATTTTTCCATAACTGACAAAAGGTACTTCTCATGCCTTTAAAAATTCTGGTTCATATGAGATGCCACAAACTGGATATACAACAACGACGACAACCAAGTTTTTTTCCCAAGTACGCTACAAACTGGATATAAAATTTAAATTAGCTGAGTAAACCAAACTAAGGATGAAGCCTCTTCATTTTTCTTTTTATAAGAAATTATATTAGAAAAGGCAATAAGGAGGGCACAACCCATGTACATAAGTTGAGGAAAGAACATCTAAATTCCAGTGACAGGAAGGAAGGTTTTGCTTGCCAATCTGTCTGCTGAGGATTACCCAATGACAATAGCAGATAGTAGATACCTATGTACTCCAAGCTTACTGAATGTTGCACTGTCAGTGAGAAATTATGGACCTAAACCCTAGGCTATGATGCCCGATACAGACTTAGAGGGGGGTGAATAGGCCTTGAAAAAATAATTATAAAACTCAAACTAATTTTTAAACTAGAATGAACTATAACGACAATTTAAAAAAATTTAAATAGAACATGGTATAACAGTAATTTAAAAATTAATGCATTTAATGCATTGTTTAGAATTTGAAGTTTTTAAGGGGACATGCAGTTAATGCATTGTCACCTTTTAAAATTGCCAAATTGACCTTTTTAGTTCAAATATGTATAGTTAAACAAGTTTGAAATTTTTTTAAAACATAAAGGACAATGATGGAAAGATAACCTTTGTTTGCATTGACTTTTCTAAGTGGACAACTAATTTGGGACATCCAAAAAAGGGAATTGTGGACTACTAATATGGGACAGAGGTAGTAACTAGTAAGCATTATCATCAATCTGTTCATCATGCATCCAAAATAAGCAAAGGCATAAAAATAAAAACCATTCAATCCACACATGAACATCAAATTTTTATATGGAAACCCCACAGAAAAAATCTTTTGTTGCACTCAAGAACTAAACATATAGACGTAAGTAAAGCAAACAGAAATGAACAGAAGTCTTCTTACAATAGTAAGGAAGACTAGAAATACTCCAATCACCGTTGGAGACTAGATTTCTAAAGGGACATCTGGGAAAAGCCTGAAGAGAAGTTTAAAATCTGATAATATATCAAAATAATATTGATTAAGACTTGGCTACAGATAAGAAGGCTGTCCCTTTTATAAAACAACTACTATTGACACTTGACTTCTCCTAAAATGACTTTTAGAATTCCCACCCAACATAAATAAAATTTTACCACTTCCCTACGTAAACACTTGGTAGTTCCAAAGCTTAATTAATTAGGAACCAAAAACAAGAATGACTCTTGACTTTTTCCTAAGTCACTTTCCAAAGCACCATTAATGATTTGCATCAGACCCTCCTCCTTGAAGAAAACTCCCCCTCAAGTTTGAAGCAATTGACCACGATCAAATAAGAACCCGAGTAAAACCTCCCATCCTTTCTTTCTTTTGTTTTGGTACTAGAACAAAACACACTAATATGCTGTTACTGACAAAGAATCTGATTTTCGGGCCTCTTAAGAAATTTGGTAAATTTCCAAACCTGCTTGAACACAAATCAGGAGTCAAGACCTGAATTAATCTGATTTTTGCATTGGTACAACACCTGATTATATGTTATGCCAACAATTCATCCCATATCAGATCACGAATATGAAATTCATGATTTCTCAGCTCCAAGAACAAAGAAGATTCCAAACCACTCACGAGTATGGACTGCCTATATTAACTATGGAGTTCATAGTTAGTCTAGTTTGTAATTTGAAGCCTCTAATCATATAGAGAAAAAAGCCCTTGAGAGAGAGCATAGAATTCCAAACCACTCAATCTAGGGATTCCATAGACACCATTATATATGATTGAGTGTTCGTCAAGGAGGAATTCTTTTATTCAATTCAAATAAACTGGACAAGTTTCAGAACAGAAAAATGGACAATCACTAAAGAAATCAATTTGTGAGGAGCAAAGTCTGTTGACAAGCAAACAAAAGGCATAGAGACTTTATTAGAGAGTTTGGCGTTAGTCTGTGCGGACACTGAGGTAATTGGGGGTTCTAGAGTGTGAGAACTATCAACTTGGTTGAAGTTTGGGCGGTTCTAGAGCGTGAAACTGTCAACTTGGTTGCAACTTCTTTATCACATGGTCGAATATACCTGCCAAGACTAGATATTGTGATTTTTTTCGTTTGTGATTTTCACGTAAAAATTCAGTGTCGCTTCTCTTTTTGTTTTTTTTCATAATTCGCTGTCTCTTCTCTACCTTAATTTTCTAATTAATGCATGATTTTGGATAGGATGGATGCAAATTGAAAAGGTATATAAATTAAGAGTCAAAACACAATCAGCTAAAATAAATGAAATTTAAATTAGTATCAATAATACCTATCACCCCCCCCCCCCCCCCAACGCGCGCACGCGCACTAACGATCTCATGACCATACCATACTTCAATGGAGGCAAACAATAACATAAATAACTTTCAAGCACAAATTTATTAAGGAAATACATTTATAAAAACTAAAAGTAAAGTGCAACATATACCATCCAGGCCAATTCTCGGTCCACATTTTGGGCTTGTTCAGAGAATTTGGATTGAATTGGTCACAGTAAAACGAATTGCATGTATTGATCTGCAAAAGAAAAATCGTTATGCTATGCTCCAAATTGAACAGAATCTTCACATATATATTGTTAACAACCATCTACTCCGAAAACTTAAGTTGTTAGAGAGAGTGTAACTTTAATATTTAAATCCTTCTAACACACCCCCTCGCGTGTGGCCTTCTTTTGGCCCAACACGTGTTCCAATTTTAATTATCAGAGTGACGGTGAGGTTTGAACACAGGATCTTACTTGCTCTGATACCATGTTAACAACCATTTACTCCAAAAGCTTAAGTTGTTACAGAGGGTGTAACTTTAATATTTAAATCCTTCAACACATATGTTATACCAATTTAAATGCTAAAGTGCTACATGTTATCAAGAAGGATAGTAGAACTCAAACTTTGTATATAACAGGGAAGGAATGCAATAAATTAGAAATTTAATAGGTGAACTAGCAAAAATATGTTGTAAATGAAGTGCTAATCATCTTTTCTCAGTTAAAATATTATTACAATCCTCAACTAAAGTAGGAGTGAACTGCATTCCAACTGCTGCACATAGGCAAGCATCAAGAAATGAAAGAGAAAGGAGAAAGAGAATGGAGAAAAGAAGAACTAAAGAGCATTCATCTATACAAAAACCATTAGCATTCTGTAGAACACCGCTAGAGTGAATTAAGAAGGTTGCTATAAGAGGTAAAGTGTTTCAAACAACAAAAAACCGTAAAATTTACATGCAATAGTGATTCAAGGCATACTTCCACAAAAACCTACAGAACAGGCCTGCATGGATAATTTAAAATACAGATCTGCATGTCAACCAGAATATGTTACAAGTAATATAAGTAAAAAATCATTTTCTACCGCAGTTCTGCATGGGTATTTAACGCGTGCTCACTCGAGTGCCTGCTGCTAGAAACCAGCATTGAGTCCAAGTAGAATACAGTAGTAATTTTAGTCTTCATCACCCAATTTATCAGTGGCTAGATTCCAGTAGTGCTTTAAAAACTCAAATGAATTTGACATAAGTGTTAGTGTACTACAAACAGAGTTAATATACCTAGTTAGGGTAAAGCCCCTTGATGAAAATTCTTCCTCTGGTAATCATTTCTACAACCACTATCATATCTTCATTTCATTTCAATGAACCTCATAAATATTTCTTCAACTAACTAGTTTGTCTTCAAAGAAGCCCCCACAACTCCACTAGTTCTTAGAAGAAAACATCTAAAAAACGAGCACTTATCACTAGTTCAACAAGCAAATCATTAATATCCACATATGTAAAAACTTTTGAGAAGTATTTATCCACATATGTAAATCCCACTCTTGTTTTGAATTAACTCTGGGATTCGATGCCAATATTCCAGTAGCTAACTGCATTGCTCGGTATACTCCCATATGTCAATCTTCATTGCAATTTATACCATTTTTCTCATCCACGTCAAACTTTTCAATTTGTTTCTTTTTACTCTATGTGAGAGAGTGATGGATGAGGAACTACAAAACGTGAAGTAAATGACAAATGGGAGCACAGCAAAGTGCTTGTAAAAAATGTTGTTCTGGACCCCCTTTCTGATTCCCCTCCTTGCCCTAATCGCAGAGTCAGAGCAAGAAAGCAGAACAAGAGTGAAAGCAAGAGAATCACTTATGGAATTTGCTAAGCTCCAAGCCTCCAAAGCACTTTTGTGTGTATATGAGAGCATGCTATCCTTTATGGTTTCCAATCTCTAGAAGGAACACATTATACGAGTAGATTTAAAAATGAACTTGAAAAAAGTTCTTTTTATAAAAATAAAAAATAATAAAATGGGTAAATTCTTTTTTATATATTGTACAGCCTTAAGCTGAATTTTCTTTTGTTATTTTCATTACATTCTTACTTCAAGAATAAAAATGAAAGGGTAGAAACAACACAATTATTCCAAACTAGTGGCTAGTGGTTTACCTTCCACTCCTAAGGTCTACAGTTTAACATTTGTTGGCACCAACTTTTGCTTAAATCTTCTAAATAGAGGCCCCTAAGCCGTGTTATGGTGTGACTGACCCAGTCTATGCTCACTAACTTGTGGAAAATCTGTGATTCGTTGCTTAACAAATGAGCATCTCCATCTGCAGAATGGTCAACAGCAATGCACAAATTGACCTTGATTGCTTGGAAAGCAGATTATGGCACTTAGATCTTAACAAATATGACAACAATAAGACAACTGTAAGGACATGTACAATGCCTTACCTGCTGTGAATCTGCATAAAACGACATAGAAGATTGTTCCTGTTGTCTACAATTATACCCTGAAATGGTGTTTGTGATACAATGATCTCCCATTTTCCTTCTATGCAGGCATTCTTTTTTTCCTTCTCTTTTCATCCCCATCTCCCTCCAGATTATTTACACTTGCAAGGCCATAAGCAGGAAGCCAATTCCATTTGATTGAGAATGGAACAGAACCAAAGATTCCTCAAAGTTGCTTAATTCTTGAGACACTACTAACCTTAAAATTAAATTAAATTGTACGGGAAAAAGCCCCTAAAAAAGTACAATTAATCACAAATATTATTGTTTTGACACGAAGAAAGTAAATTGCAGTTGACAGGGATATACACAATGAAAGGGAGATGTTGGAAATCACACAATGGCCATTACCAGTGTGCTCCCGTGAATCAAGTTTTCTCATGCCTGAGGCCTAAGCTTTTACCTCATGCACCAATGTGAAAATTTTCAATCATTTTAAGATTAATATTTTTTGGCTAATTTTTGTTTTTAAGAAAATAAAAATAAAAGAGGAAAAAATCCTTTTTTTGGTTAAGATTACATATACGCACACTCAACATTTACTTGTGGTTGGTGAAACTTGGAATTTGCATTATATGTAGAATACATTTACATGTACCTAGATTACTATTTAATTAGCATAACTTAAATTGGCTGTTAAACAGATAAAACTCTCACCACTGGGTCAGGAGCATCATACTGCTGGCACATTATCCAAGGCACACCAATATTTTGAGAAAGAGCCATTTTGGCAGCCCACATGGCATATGGCTTTCCCCCATCTCCATAAATACTTTCAGTGTCTCCATACTCGTTTTCTACCTGCAGTAAGAGAAATTGCTTAATGGAAAAACTCAGCACTTCTGCATAGTTTTGGAAAGTAGTACAAATCAAGCAGATTGAAGAAAAGGAGATGAAAAGCAGGGGGAAGTGACAAATATGCAAAGAAAAAAATTAAAATATCTCATAAGCAAAAAGAAAATGAATTAACATTATATTCAGACTGCCACGAATCCCCCCTCGGAGCTATATATTAAAAGGTGAAACTTGCAAGAAACAAGTTATTCACCATGATATGTACAAACACTTCAACAACAACCAAGCCCTTTCTCAATTACTTGGGGTCGGATACATGAATCTTATATTTTTATTCCGCTCTAATTAAGGTAATAGCCTCAGTCAATTCACATGCTATCATATCTTTCTATACTAAGTCTACCCACATTAACTTTGGTCTTCCTCTTCCCCTAGTATTACCCTCATATGGACTATAGCACTCTTCTTGACCGGCGCACTTAAAGGTCTTCTTTGCAAATGTCCAAACCATCTTAACCGATTTTCTCTCATTTTATCGCCAATTGGTGTTACTCCAACCATCTTTCAAATGTGATCAGTTCTAATTCTGTCCTTTCTAGTCTTACCACTCATCCATCTCAACATTCGCACATCTGTCACACTCACTTTATGCAAATGTTGTTTCCTAGCTGCCCAACATTCGATATCTTAAAATATGGTTGGTGTAATAGTTGTTTGATATAACTCCCCTTTCAATCGTAAGGCGATACGCCTATCACACAATATACTAGATGCACTCCTCCGTTTAACCCATCCTACCTCGATTCTAAGATTAACATCATCTCTAATTTCTCCCTAGCCTAAATAACAAAAATGTTCACCTTTTTGCACCTCTTGATTCTCAATCCTCACTACATCTTCATTTGTATTTCTGTATTTACAAAAGTTACACTATATATTCAGTTTTATTTCAACGTATCTTAAACCCTTTTAATTCTAAAGCTTCTCTCCAAACCCTCCAATTTGGGATTAAATCCTTCTCTAGTCTCATCAACAAAAACAATATCAGCAGTAAGTAACATACAACACAGAATCTCACCTAGGATGTGTCTTGTCAGCTCATCCATAACTAAGGCAAATATGTATGAACTTAATGCTGGCCCTTAGTGTAAGCCTGCAGTAATTGGGAATTCACCTGTTTCCCCTACACACGTTATAACTATAATCACACAACCATCATACATACTAGGTACCCTATCATAGGCTTTCACTTGTTTATTGTGTTAATGTATCCCTTTTTTATTTCTTTCTTTTTTAAAACCCTCCATATTAGGTCTCTAGGTACCCTATCATAGGCTTTCTCCAAATCAATAAAACCATATGGAGGGACTTGAAATTGTATTTTACTTTGGTTCATGACCCTTGGCCGGTTTCTGGAGACTGGAATATTGTTAAGATTTAATTTAGAAAAAATGGGGGGTAGGAGGATCCCTCAAGCCATTTTGGATTAATTTAATTATTGTTTTGGAGATGCTGGCCTAACTGATCTTCATATAACTAATGCTGCTTTAACTTGGTGCAACAGACAGGCTGCTTGTAGAAGAATTTATGGTAGAATGGACAGAGCTATGGCTACCAATGCTAGGCTACAAATTTTTAACGCCCCTAAAGCCTCATTATTTAATGCAGGCCTTTCAGACTATGGTGCTATTGGTGTTGATGTGTTTCAAGGTATTTCTTCAGGCCCCAAAGGGAGTAGGAGGATCCCTCAAGCCATTTTGGATGAATTTAATTATTGTTTTGGAGATGTTGGTCTAACCGATCTTCATATAACTAATGCTGCTTCGACTTGGTGCAATAGACAGGCTGCTTGTAGAAGAATTTATGGTAGAATGGACAGAGCTATGGCTACTGTTGTACAGTATTGTATGAGTTGTCACACGTGTACAATTAGTATTGTATGAGTTGTCGCACATGTACAATTAGTATTGTATGAGTTGTCGCACGTGTACAGTTAGTATTGTATGAGGGTTCTTGATAAGAACAAAACTTGGGAGATTGTTGAGTTGCCAAGGGAGAAGAATACCGTAGGCTGCAAATGGGTTTTCACGGTCATATATAAGGCTGATGGTAATATTGAGAGATACAAAGCGAGACTCGTAGCTAAAGGCTTCACCCAAACATACGGAATAGATTACTAGGAAACCTTTGCCCCGGTGGCAAAGGTAAATTCCATACGGGTGATGTTGTCTCTTGCTACAAGCTTGAGTTGGTCATTGTAGCAGTTAGATGTAAAGAATGCGTTCTTAATTGGTGAGCTAGAGCAAGAAGTGTTTATGAATCTACCACCAGGATTTGAAAATGATTATGGAGCTGGAAAGGTGTGTGAATTGAAGAAATCGCTATATGGTTTGAAACAATCACCCAGAGCATGGTTTGATCGATTCACTAAAGCTATCAAGGTCATGGATATCGTTAAAGTCAGGCTGATCACACTCTGTTCTACAAACATTCAAGTGATGGTAAGATAGCCATACTTATTGTTTATGTGGATGACATAATCTTGACCGGAGATAATAAAAGAGAATTGGAGGATTTGAAGTCTTTTCTTGCAAAGGAATTTGAGATAAAAGATCTTGGAGCTTTGAAATACGTCCTAGGAATAGAATTTGCCAGATCCAAGAGAGGGATATTTGTCTCTCAAAGGAAGTATGTGTTGGATTTACTTATGGAAACAAGTTTACTTGGTTGCAAACCGGTGGAAACACCAATGGAGCCCAATTTAAAGTTGCAGGCAGCAAAGCAAGTGCAGAAAAAGTGGTGAACCGAGAGCAATTCCAAAGGCTGGTTAGAAGACCCATTTATCTTTCACACACTCAGCCAGATATTGCCTTTGCAATGAGTGTAGTAAGTCAATTTATGCACTCACCAGAAGAAGAACACTTTGAGGCAGTCTACCGGATTCTCAAATACCTAAAGGGATCACCTGGAAGAGGTTTGTTGTTTGAAAACCATGGCCATCTAAGGATTGAAGCCTATACCAATGCTGATTGGGCAGTTTGACGGATGGAAGGTCTACTTCAGGTTCCTGTACTTATGTTGGTGGAAACTTGGTTACTTGGAGGAGAAGAAGCAAACCGTTGTAGCAAGGAGTAGTGCAGAAGCTGAGTTCAGAGCAGTTGCTCATGGAATTTGTGAACTTTTGTGGCTGAAAAGATTTCTTGAAGATCTTAAAATCTCAAGTCCGATGCCTATGAAGCTTTACTGTGATAATAAAGCTCCAATCAACATAGCTCACAATCCTGTCCAACATGATAGGACTAAGCATGTGGAAGTTGATCGACATTTTATTAAGGAGAAATTGGAAGGAGTGATATGTATGCCCTATATTCCTACAGGAGAACAGGTAGCAAATATCCTCACTAAAGGATTACTGAAGGGGAAATTTGACAATCTTACATGCAAGCTGGGAATGCAAGATATTTTTTCGAGCCAGCTTGAGGGGGGAGTATGGAAAGATTTAGGCTGAATTGTTAGGAAATTAGTTAGGGAGGATTTTTAGGAATTATCCACAGATAGATAGTTGACTTTTTTTGAATTGTGATCTGTATATATTTTTTCCTTAGATAGAATTTGTAATACACTTCTATATATATAGGCCTTTAAACTAACATATGAAATATGAAAAGAGAATATCAGAATTTATTCTTTTTCACCTTTGTGTTCATTTATATTCTTAAAGATAGATCTCAAGTATTCTCTGTTTTTCAATCCTTTTATGATGAAATTCAAAATCAGTTTAATGCAAAATTACTTGTTCTTAGAACTGACAATGCCCTTGAATATAAACTTAATGTTTTTCAAAAATTTCTTGAGTCAAGGGGCATTATCCATCAAACATCTTGTGTTGATACCCCGCAACAAAATGGAGTTGTTGAACGGAAGAATGGCCCACTCCTAGCTATCGCTCGTGCCTTAATAATTCAAATGCGTGTTCCAAAACATTTTTGGGCAGATGCAGTTCTGGTTGTTGCGTATCTTTTAAACTACATGCCTTCTAGGTCCTTCAAGGAAAATTACCCTTCCAAATGATGTTTTCTGACAAAAACCCTATTTCCATTCCTCCAAAGGTGTTTGGGTGTGTCTATTTTGTTCATAATCTAAGTCCGGGACGAGACAAACTTGATCCTCGTGCTCACAAATGTATTTTCTTAGGTTATTTTCGCACTCAAAAGGGATATAAATGTTACAGTCCAACTCTTCGTAAACAATTTGTGTGTGCAGATGTAACTTTCTTTGAGGATGTTCCTTATTTTTTTTTTTTTTTTTTTTTTTGATAAGTTCTTTGAGGATGTTCCTTATTATTTCCAGGAAGGCAGTCATTTGGAGGACTCTGTTCTTCAAGAGTCTGTTCCAACTCCAGTTTTTGATCCTAACATCCCACCAACTCTTCATGTCTATGGTCGTCGCCGAAAAAGAGTGGTTAATCATGTCCCAACAACTGAAGTAGTAAACTCAGCCTTGCCACTTCCACCAGCCGCTTCAACACCTGGACATTCTTCCATCTCAGCGGACTCTGATCTTGATCAACCTATTGTTGTTCAAAAAGGTAAACAGTCTTGTACCAATCACCCTATCTTCAATTTTGTATTGTATAATAAATTGTCCTCCTCCTTTCAAGCTTTTTCTTTGTCATTATCGTCTATTGCTCTTCCCAAGTCCTACAGGAAGGCACTTCCTCATCCAGGGTGGAGGAAGCTATGGAATAAGAAATAAATGCTTTAAAATTGAATCATACTTGGGACCTTGTTCCCAAGCCTACTGATACTCAGGTTGTTGGTTGTCGTTGGGTTTTTACTGTTAAACAGAAGCCTGATGATACTGTTGACCATCTCAAAGCTCGACTTGTTGCTAAAGGCTACACTCAAACTTATGGCCTTGATTATACTGAGACATTCTCTCCTGTGGCCAAACTGAAGTTTGTTCGTGTGATAATCTCTCTTGCAACTAATCTAGACTGGCCACTT